CGGTGTCAGCGGTGGCGGTGTTGGCGGTGGTGGTATTGGTGGCGGCTGCGGCGAGTGGCGCAGTTCGATCGCGAGGAGTCGCGCCGGCCCACGCCCGCTCGCTGCTGGGCTGCCCAGCGCTGCTTTGCGCCAACGCCGTCGCGTTGTTTTTCTCGACCTCCCCACACACGCACGCCTCATTACGGGGCACGGCAGCACGTAGTTCAAACCGAATGAATTTGGACTGCGCTGCTCTTCGATCATTAAATAGACGTACGCGTTACGAAGGATCGTTCCAGCTCTGAAAAGTTTCCATTCGAAACTTTTGTTTGCGGAGAATTTCATGGACCAATTGAATTCGATTATTCTGATCAAATTAAATTATCCGTCCATTTTATCTTAGGTTGGTGTAGTACATACATATTTTTTTCTTCCGGGCGCTGTTTCCAGCTTCAGGGGATTCCGATTTTCCTCTATCCAGGAAACTAGGACCCGGGTAACTGCTATGTCCCTCATAGGGACACACATTAACTTTTTACCCTAGATACTGAGACTGACCCACTTAAGGGGTCCTTGGGTCTGTGGTCAGCAGACTCCCAAGGTCTTCCGCGACAAAACACATCTTGAAAGACAAGCGACAAACAACTACGCCCACGGTGGGACTCGAACCCTTCCGGCACACGGTCCAGCCACCTCGGCCATCCTGTTCGACATACTGTACATACACATATTTTTCATTCTCTCTAGAATAATTTAATCCAAAATCAAGAACTCTTGTAATAATCCCCAATTTTTGTTGTTTATGCTATTTTGCGGTTTGAATTTTTTAAATACAACGTAACAATACAGCCATTTCTCCAGAATATTCAGTGTCTGAGAAAGGAAAAATGTTTCCTCTTCTATGTTCTATTGTACGCCAGTTATGAACATTGAACAAGCAGCCGTCATTAAAAATTACCTTTGAAAATTCACAAAAATATACTTAAAAACAATTACCGCTCACGAGCTATGTACTGGCGCAAGAGTTTGTTCAAAAACTCGGTCGTCTCAGCGGCTCTGTGATCAGAGCTACCGGGCGTGAACTGAGACACTGTTTCGATCCCCGGTCGATGCTTTAAACAGTTTGCTATTTTTTATTTCGAATTTGGATTAAATATTGTCATCAGACTACTCACGGAACATCAACACCATCTAGTGCTGAATTACTTTTTAAACAACCACTGAAACATGTAAAAGTTGATTATTCGCATTTTATAGGATCAAAAAGTTACGAAGCATTATTTATCGAACTGAAATTTGAAAACTTCAGTTGCGCTAGCGTAGCTAGTTGTGAGTAGCAAACCGAAACATCATTAATTGGGAGGTCTTAGTTCTTAGTAGGAGGAATTTCGGTACCAAATACTAGCTGGATCGTAGTCGACTTCTTCCTGGATGAGAGTTATAGACGCCAACGGCTCTGATTCTGTGATTTCCTCTGATACATTCCAGGCGAATGCTGGAGACGACTCCTAATCAACGGAACCGAACCGCGCGCGAACTTTCCTTCCTCTTCTCCACGCGCGATCCTTTAAATATAGTGCGGATTATATTTCAGCCACACGTTGACATGCTATAATCTGAGTCCATCCCCAAACCTAAGCGACGCACCTAGTCGGCGAAAGAAAGGATACGCCCAGAAATATTCCCCGAGATCTCTTTAAATGTCTTTCGATTCAATGAGCGGCCATCAGATTTAAATTTTGAAGCGCGTGAGAAGTAGATAGAGAACGCCGTACACAGCTAACATATCCTCTTCAGGTAAAATTTCAATAATTCATACTGAAGTTTTTTTTCAAATAAAAGAAACATTCGCAATTATTAAGCAGAAAAAATACTACATTTTTTACATTAGCTCTTAACTTGTGATCTGAGATGTCATACAATTCCTCAAAAGTATTCTTCAAAAGCATTCTTCGAGCAATTTTTTTTTCAAACTAATCAGAAGTCTTTATATTCCCAATCTACATTTTACTCACAAAATCTACTTACATCTATACATTTTAACGCTGAATACAAAAACCTAGTTACCCTTGGAGGCGAGCACCTAAACATATTCAAATGTTTGATTTATTTTTATTTACATACTGTTACCTTGTTCTTGGCTTTACTCCACGAATCTTCGGGACTCTATGAAGTTAATCAGTTATCTACAGATAACTTAACTGTTTCTTGATGTAGATCAGCACAGTCACATTATTGCATCTCTAACCTCTGGCAACATTAGCACCCTTATGTCTTTCTACGCCGTAGTTCTTAAGGATAAGGTTCTTCTTACTTAATCCACCGTAAACATAAGTTTTGTGTAATTAGACTTAAACATAATTTGGCTGATGTGAAAGTCATTGTGAAATTCTAATATTAATGGCCGCGAACTCATTACATGTCCATTCTCTGCCATGTCACATCTCTTCACTAACTCTCTTTTCGCTTTATCTTTCAACTGACTACCGTTCTTCTTCGTATTCTTTTTCTCCCGTTTTCTGTCTTCCAGCAAACTATTAATTACTTAAATAAATATATACTTATGCAGTTATTATTGAATGTTAATGAAATGTGTTCAAAAACGTGTGTTCATTTATTTAAAATAATAAAAATACATTATTTAGTTCAATCCCAAAATGTGTAATGTAACTTCAGATTTTCGATTCCTTTTCCTGGTTTATCATGCAATACGTGTCACAAAGCAAAATTATGCTATTTAAAAACGAAACAAATAATAAAGTATGTATTATTTACTTTAATAATTAAAAATTTTCCGTATCGGTGGTAATATTTACTTTATACTTCGTCTGATGCTAATAATAATGATGTTATTCACGAAATAGTTCGCGTGCTCTAAAGAAGATTAATTCACGCTATTAGGAAAAAACGCATTGTCAGTGTCAAGGTCACAGCAAATGGGTCGTGTTATGGATTTAATGTTTGTAAATGATCTAAAAGCCTTTTTCGGAGATAGCAATTAATTGTTTTCTTTGTTCATTGTTACATTGATTATAAACATGGATCGTGTTCATCGTACATTGACTTTAAAGTGACAAGACGATTTCTCGATTAATATTGTCTCAATAAAATATATTTCTTCTCTTCGTGTTTCATATTTCTACATTATTCTCTGTGACGAACGGCTGTTTTATATATCTTTGATGTTGTTTCCCCAAAAGAGTGGTCGTAGGGGCCACCGCCTAGGGCAGCTGCGGGCACCGCAGTCGACACCGGAGACACGCGCATTTCTTCAAGCTCGGATCCGGACATTGCTCCGTAAAGGGGTTGCAGCGGCCTTCCGAAGAGGTCATGGAAGAATTCGGGGTTAGGGGAGGGAGTCTCCCTGGTGAGGTCCCTTGAATTTCACGGGTCATAAAGCCCTGAATCCAGCTCGTTTGGCAGGCCTGTTCTAGTCGGATCCGTGCCAGCCTTACGCACTACTTAAATCATTGTTTTAAAACGAAAATTATCAGTCGTTTTCTACTTATTCTCCAAGATTAATGAAATAAGAGAGAATGAAAGATTCTGGAATGATACAATCACTATTCACTTTGAAAACAGAGTTTAACATGGTTTTGGAAATGTATTTGAAATGTTTTATATGTAACAAGATCTATACGTCTGTAGTAGTAGACCATACCAGGAAATCCTGCTGTCCACCTTAACTCAAAAACGCAATACATCACAAATAATTTTAATCACTAGACATTTTTTGGTACAAGGACCCTGGGGAATTGCTTAACATCGCGTTTATTTACAATCACTAACGTTTGCATTTAAAACACTATCTTTGAACTTTAAAAAAATCGCCATCTTCCCGTCGCTCACCATAACGCATGCTTGCTCTGTCCGAAACAGCCACTGCTTTTTGTAGATTAGTTGCAACTCGCTTAAAGAAACGACCAAGATCCAATGCATGTAGTTGGTCTTGAAAAGTATGCAATAAACAAATGGAGGCAGATACGCCTTAATATTATCAATTTTAATATACTTTGAAAATGAAGTGTTTATACTATAAAACTGGTTAATGACAGTAAGCGATAACATATCTGGGGCACACTACTTTTCATTTAAAGCAACAAACACGAAATCTAGTTCCGTAGAAAGATCAAATTCCTTTATAAACAAAAACGCTTAACATTTTACTTTCATCAATTGTGCAGATAGTGATATGCACTACTAATATTTGGACAATTTCTTTGAAAAATAATTTTATCAAACTGCTTGAATGACAGAACACTGTTAGTTTTTTGATGTAGTACATAGAGGTCGCGAGAAAGATTTCTTTCGGAGCATATAGATCGTACAGTAATCTGTTCTCTAAAACTCACATAATACTACTCCCATGAACTCACATTACTACAAAATATAAATAGATGTGTAAATAATATATTCATCTATTCTCTAAAATTCACATATTTTCAGTTTAATTAAAACGATGTGAATTCTAATAAATACACTAATTTTATTTCGAAAGTCACACTCAAGATCAAAAAAATAGGCGATGTACATTTAAAGTAATATATTGTACACATAATATTATATTTAAAATTTTTGTATAATAAATATAATATATATTGTTATATACTGTATAACCTTTAGAATAAGAAAAAAAAGAACGTAGCATTCATACGTAAAGCTATTGATGTTTGAAAAAAGTCTTAGTCCCTCGGCAGCAGAGTGAGCCTCTTTGGCGCAGCCGCTCGAGTCCTTCCGCAGCGCAGGGCCTTGGGCCGCGTGGCCGGGCGGGCGGAGGGGCGCGCCGAGCCGCGCTCGCTCACCGCGCGTTGCGTGCGCAGATGGTGGTGCTGGAGGACGCGGAGGGCGATAAGAACGACGTGCTGCGCCAGAAGAGAGGCAGCGAGCGCCGCTACGTGTACGACGTCGCCTTCGGGGAGCAGTCCACGCAGGTGAGCCACCTCTCCCTCTACCCACGCCTCTCCAGTATATACTCTCAGATCACTTTTTATGTCGCTCTGGTGTTGGTTCTATGTACAAACGGAAGCCCCCCTCAAAAAAGAAAGACAAAAATTGTTGGCTTATGACAAAATGCCATGCTTAACTGAAAATACACCACCGAAAATATTTAATGTAATTACATTGTTTTTTCTGTACAATAATTAGAACATTCTGATCTAGTTGAAGTTGATCTAGTAGTGTTTAGATTAATGGGGAACAGGAGTTTAATCGCAAAATTGGAAAAGTTTCTAGATTGAAGATAACTGGGTTGTGATAAGAAGGTAGCACATTGTGTGTTTCTACTGTTATCATTGTGCTCGGATTGAGCGATGTTTCGAAATTATTTGTGTCAAGTAGTTGGTTTGAGGTAGATGGATATCGAGTTGGAGAGTATGGGGACTTGGGTGTTCAGGCTTAGGTTATTGATATTAATGTGAAGACAGATGGCAATAGGACAATCGAGATAACAACTATGATATTGATGCATTGTGTATGAATAACGCTGACATTTTGTTTTGAGGTAGACTAATGGGTGGGGGTACGGTTTGGGAGTCATTTTCTCAACGCCGTCGAAGGTAATTTAAAACGGTTTGGAACCGGAATATTGCAAATGGAAGTATTTAGGGGATTATAATTGGGGGAGTACTCATCGACATTTGGTTGTAGTTGATATGGTACTCTGGCTACGACTCGACGCTAATAATGGTACATAGCGGCTATACAGTCCGTCTACAATGCTTGGAGTTTCAAAGCAAAGATAACACCATTTCAGATCGTTTTCTAGTTTCACTTATAAATATATTCTCAAGAGTCTTCTCCATTATTCTGCGATATTTTGTTAAAAGAGCGTTTCTGCTATGTTAAGCTTTACACGAAAACGTTGGAAACCTAATTTGCTATAACATACTGAATGTGAATACTTCCTTTCCGAAAAAAAATCATTTCATTAACATACTTCACTTTCGAAATCAACTATTCATTTCAGTTTTCATTTGCGTTTTCTTGTAATCAATTCCAATGAATCAATGGTCAGAAACCGTTAATTGCTTCATTACAGCGTCTAAAGCTAATCAATTTTAATTCATAATGAGGGCATTTCGAGGCTCATTATGTGACGCTGCCAGAATGTTGATTTCTGTCATCCATATTACATGTAAAGACGCATGAAATCTAGTAAATTTGATCTTGGTTTGTTTAACTAATTCCCTTCGCATCGAAGGAAGAGACTCTTGTTGGATATTTAGATAGATCAGAAGCTGATTAATTAACGAGAACAAATAACATGGGGGCAGCATTAGCATCGACTTGTACAAATAAATCAGATCGTGGGCTAGGAATGCAAGACGTTGTCTAGGCTATCCGGGACAAGCCGCGTCAATGTCATGGTGGCTAACGTTTCGGCCAGCGTATTGTGGCCTTCTTCAGAGCATCTCAGCAGTACGCTCTGAAGAAGGTCACAATACGCCACGTCCCGGATAGCCTAGACAACATAAACTCCGGCCGCGGAAGCCTACGCAACCATAGGAATGCAAGACGTTCTCTGTTAGCGCAACAAAAATTATTGCATGTACAACTCCTACTTTTTAGGTTTTAAAAACTAAAAATCAGGTATAGATTTCGGCTCTCAATCCTTCTCATGTTTTTTGTGTCAGAATCGACTTACTGTCGCAAGAAAATGAAAATGATGATTTCCATTTTCTGTTTTCATTTTCAATGATAACTTCAAATTAACTTCTCCCCATAGCACGTCTCACACAGTTTTTAACTGTTTTAAATAAGTAAATAAATTGAATAACCACATACATTCCCAACAGAGCTCAAGAAAGCTTGCACATGTAGTGAAGCTACATTTGTTTTCAGAAGCGAACTAAGGGACCATCTCAACATTTGCTCAAAGGATTAGGGAAGCTGAACAAAAAATCTAATTGAGTTGAGAGTCATTGACCCTAAGGTGGAGGTTACAAGCATATTTAGTATTTTAGAATTATCGAGTATATATGGTAACTAATATATTGAATATCATTGTTAAAAGAAATTTGATTTTCCTTTTTATGTTCAGTATAGTATCTTACTGTATTGAAACAGTTATGCAGCAAAAACAAAATTACTTGGCTTTTAAATTTATCGTATTGTTTATGTATGTTTTATGTATCGTTTTTAATCGTTTAATGATTTGTAGTGAACTATTGATAATGACTTATGATAAATGTAATTACTACGTCTAGTGATAGATTTCTGTAGCAGCTGAAAATATGTTCCATCCAAAGTAAGTCATTTTAACACAAAACACTAATTCGTAAATCAAGAGGCAAGGCAGTGATAGAATTCCTAGCTTAATAAAGTGAGACTTAAAACTCGGACAAGTCTTTTCTGTAATCTAAACGTCTGGAACTATACAATGAGTTTACTTAGAGATAATATCAAATGTCAGGTGGGAATGAATATTCGCAAAATATACACAAGTAGGCGTAATATTAGTAGAGTAGCAGTAGTAGTGTGAAGGCTCAGAAAGTTTGTAACATATGTTATTGTACTATCTCTTCTTTCTTTATTGCAAAGAACATTCCTATCATCGGCAAAACCAACAAACGTTCTTCCCTTTAGAATCGCCGGTATCTTTTACGTTTAGTAAGAAGAGAATGTGCCTAAAAATCGAACTCTGCGGGACTCCATGCGCAATTGGCAGTAAATCGAACAGGTTTGTGAATAATATCCCTTCAGGAACTTCTTCTTAGCTGTTTTAAAATATCTGGAAATATTTCGTTGCAATAGTATGGCGTTCCCTGAATTGTGACGTATTGGAGGGTCTTTTTCTAAGAGTCAAGGCTCCAAACTGCTCGAAAAACAGAAGTGTTTTCTTTTCTTCCACGAAGAATCGTCCGCTTGTCCACCCACTCACAGAAGAGACATAGTACCCTATCGATGCGAGTAAATCACCCCAGCAGTGTGCGTTGAGAAAGCAAGCAGGCGCAGGCGACTAGCCTCAATACGTTCACACGAATCAATATTAATTCTTTTCATTATCGATTTTATGACTTCAGAATGTTTTATGCAACAATTTAAGCTAATTTTATAAATGAAAACAATAGAAAATACTTTAAATTTGAAACGAATGTGGAATTTACAAATTTCTTCCAAAAGCACAATTAACGAAATATTCGAATTATCTTGGAACGCATTGGAGTACACTTCAAAGTAGATAGATATACTAGGCAAATATGCAATTTAAGTTTCACATTAGAAACCTCAATTAACTTGTCTGAATTTAAAAAGGAATTTTGGAATTACACAAATTGTTGATATAGAAAAGAGTTGTTACTATTCAAAGGAAGGTGTCACCTTAACCTTAATTTTTATTCAATGGATAAGCAGCATTTGATGGATTGTCATATCATCAGATACTTGACAAAGGGAAATAAACCTTAAACGTTAATTAGTGGTGATAAAATAGGTCATACTTTTTTGTATAATTAATATCGTCCAAGTAATATAGTAAAGTTGCACATTTCATCTGTTAACATTTAAGTCCCTCGTTTCTCCCGCTGTTAGAAAAAATGTCAAATCAGTTTCTTCTATAACATTGACATTTTCATTACATGAATATATCGTTCTAGCTTTGCCCGCTCGACTGTACAAAATAAGTATTTGCCGGAAACAATGTCGATGACAATGCTGTGTCGTCTGTGCAATGTACGACATTATTGTCAGAAATATTAATGTAACCATATAACGTTTGAATTGATATGCATATGCATCAATATCACCCGTCTCAAAAACGTCTTAGGCTACACATCTTGCATATACACAGGAAAAAATTGGATTCTTTTTAACTGAAACATCTTATTTTAAGAGTATTATTCCAATCAATTTTTAATAAATCTGCGGCAGCGACAGCGGTTGCAAGATACTTTCACTTACCTTTTCAACAATATAAGCATTTCTTTTGTCACATTCGATTACACAATTCATCGTACCATGACCTACAACACTATTAAATTATGTAACTAGAGAATGTTTTATACGGATTCACTGCAAACTCACATAAATATGTAGTAGTATTATAGGAGATTGTAATCCTTATTGAAGTAAGATTTGTACTTTTGTAATGTATATGTGAAGGCTCATTGATATTAATTTTTTGGTTATGTATTTGTTTAATTATTCATGCCTAGTCCAATATATTAAGTGTTGTTGTTCCAGTTTGTTTTATAATACTGAAGATGAAATTACGTATTCTGAAACATTGACATTCTTGTAATGCTGTAATGTTTTAAGATTATCTGTGACCAATTCCCATTATACGCAACATTCTGTAATTTAACACCAGGAATGTCAAGAATCTTTCTTCAATGAACTTTTAATGTTAATCTGGGGTAGTATTAATTTTTTAATTTTAAATTAGTGTGTATATTATAAGTATATCCACCTTGAAATAAACTTGTCAAATCACAATATTTTTGTGTTTTGAAAGCGTGAATTTCTACTTATGCTACTGTATTAAACTCTTGTTCGGGTCCCCTACAACCTAGTTTGACAGTCGTAGCAATACAAAATTATTTTCTGAGAGGAGAGCTTTTTCGGGAGACTATTAATCTGGGTTTGCTTCGGTGACACAGGGCTTGGAAGAACGCACATCCCAAAGGCTGCTTGCAGCAATCATTTAAAGCATGGGTGTTTTGACTATGTGGTTGGGACTTGTTTGGTTTTTTCATATCACCTCACATCACATCTTACCACACATCAGACCATATTCATCCATCTTTCATCATCATTTTCCATTCATTTTTACCATTGACATAGTCTATCCAATCGAAGGCAGCGGCAAAACACCACTGTGCTCAGGCAAGAGAAGGACACAAAGGTGTAAGCCTTCTCCCTCACCTATTCTCGGTATCGGAATGTGAATCTCGTTCTTTCATCCTCATTCTTTCTCTCCTTATCCTATCCGCAAACTCCCCGCATCATCTTCCCCTCCTCATTCTCACCCTCAACACCCTGCTTGTTCTCATCCCTCACCTCATCACCCTGTATGCCATCATCATCCTCCCCATCAACCTTTCCTCATTCTCCCCCTCCTCGCCGCCGTCTCCTCATCTCCCATTCTCATCCTCCCCTCTACAGTCTTTCTTTCCGTATCCTCCCCTTCTGATCATTCCACTCCTCATCCTAACTCTTCGCATCCTCCCTTTCTCATTCTCCTCCCTCTGTATCTCCTCATCCTCCTCTTGCCTTTCCTTCTCCTCGTACTCGTCTCCTCCCTGCTCCTCCCTCTCCTCCTCCCTCTCCTCCTCCCTCTCCTCCTCCCTCTCCTCCTCCCCCTCCTCCTCCCTCTCTTCCTCCATCTCCTCCTGCCTCTCCTCATCGTACCTCTCACCGCCACCGCCCCCATCCTCACACTCCTTTCTCGAGCGCATTTGGAGGGCAGCGAGCGCCAGTCGTCGGGGTCATCCGCCGCGCGCGTTGCCCGCAGGAGGAGGTGTACCGCGGCACGACGAGCCGCCTGGTGCAGGACGTGCTGCTGGGCTACAACGCGACCGTCTTCGCGTACGGCGCCACGGGCTCGGGCAAGACGCACACCATGGTGGGCTCGCCGCAGCAGCCGGGCATCATGGTGCGCGCCCTCAACGACCTCTTCCAGCACGTGCGCGACGCGCGCGACCCCGACGAGTACCAGGCGAGTACCCGACGAGTACCAGGCGAGTGCGCGACGAGTATCAGACGAGTGCGCGACGAGTAGCGTAGCGCGGGCGGTTCGTCGCTTGCGAAGCGGGAAGCGCTACGCCACTCCAACACGGGGCAGAGATTTGTGGTTCACAGACGTCACTCGCGTGTGCTCGTTGCGTGCTTCTTTAGGTGATCGGACATGGTTACGTGTCGGTTTGCATTTACTCTTTCGTTGTAGAGTGGTTTGTGAAAGTATTCATTCCGTAGGTTTTGTACAAAGAGCGTCCATGTTCATCTATACATTTTTTAAATCGTTCGAATACTTCCAATGGATTATTTATGTTTCTGATGCACTTTTCGTAGTACGAATGGTATGTTACGTATAAAATTCAAAGTATTCTGAGAAATCATAGTCATCGTTTCTCGTAGTATGAGTGAGTACCGTATACGAACAAAACCTACATCAGTAAAGAAGAGATGAAATGCGCACTTAATCATAAGGAGGCTACCTACATTGTACGAATAACTGAACTCTCATTGTTCACTCTCTGAAAATAAGGGCTGTTTGTCAATAAGAATTGGTAAATTAAAGCACTCTCAATCTAAGCGTTCGCAACGTATTTATCATTAACACTCTAAGGGCACCCTGATATCTAGGATCTGAAGAACATAAAGCTCTCCTAAAGACACAGTCGACAGATAAAGCAAATATCCATGAGTATACTTGAAATAGGGCGGCAAATGCACGCTGTTCATCCGTCTCAGAAATCTATTTCTTGAAATATAGCCTTGAGAAAAGGTAGGGAAAAAAGGAGGTTTGTGGTGAAAGTACTGTAGTTATATGGGAGGTCTGGCTTCCCTTGACTGACTCAACTCAAACAACGTCCCTATATACATCTTGCTCGTGTACATGTCTCAACCAGTGCCATTGACAGGAGGTCGTGTACCTTGTTATCGGGTATAAACGTATAGAAACAATATACGCGAAAGCAGCATTTTGCCTTGTTAACGGGGATGTTAACACGTGCGATTTCATCGTTTGGATGTTCGATAAACACTCCTTCCCTGTTCGCAACTGTGATACCGTCTCAGCCATTGTCTGGAAGGCCGATAGTATGTCATTATTTCTCAAAACCTATTTGAAGGTAGTGTGAAACCGTTTTTTATTATTTTACTTACTCTATTAATTTAGGACATAAAAGATAATGTGAAAAACGCTGAACTTCATTTCGTCGATTCTAAGACTGAATAAATCGGGCTTCATGTATTATAGGCTCTGTCTCGATTAGAAGAAATTTGAATTGCGATACCCGTTTCCTCGGCGAATTAATTGCCGAAACATTGCGAACATTTCTTGCTCGTGAAGATAGAGAGCGATTATTTCACGATACTGCCACATTTTCATTTATGCGACCTTTTGCTCGCACATTTTAAGCACGCTTTGCGAGGCCTTCAAGGTCGAGCTTATCGAGCTGACCAAAGAGGCAATTGAATTTGCATACCCAAAACACGTCATAAAGAAATCATGATTTTCATGTTTCTTTGGGTTACGACGCATGTGGATTTGACCTTTTAAGTCAGTAATAAAAGTATAGTATTCATTTTAGATTTTTAAAATTTAATTACTAAAGATAATAAATTTTCTTGCATCAAAACCAAAAATGCTTTTCTTTGTTTTAGTGATAATTGGCGTTATCAGTTGTGCACCAAAGATCGTGCTAGTGCTGAAGATTTTATATTTGAGAGTAGTACTTCTTATGCCTTAAGTGGATAAATGAGATAAAAATGTAATTGTAAAATATACAATTAGTAAAGATTATGTGAACTTTATAAATAGTCGTGATAATTTTATAAACATTTATTTTATCCGATTGAGCAAATAGCCTTTACAAAAGTGAGAAAAACATACTTACATTAAAGTAATGGAAAACTTCTTAATATTACTTCAAGTATTCTTACTCGGCAAATAAAGTTTTTGTTTAAGTTATAGTAATGTTGGATAATGCTTTAGGTAAGGGTAGAACAAGTAGAATTATAAAGATATGTAAGGTTTTAGATGAGTTTTGATTTTTAAGGCGCTTTGAAAATGCGTTTGGGGAGTCTAGATTTAATTGTTTGAATTGCTTGCTTGTTGTCCTATTTGAAAATGGAGTGTACTTGAGCAGGTTGGTAAGAGAGTGAAATAATTCGAGGATAAGTTGATCAAATAGTCTGTTATTAAAGGTATTTGGAGTTCATAGTGAATTTGTCTATTGGGTATAAACCATGATTCGTTTATATGTTTTAGGAGAAATTAAATTTGGAATGTTTGTAACACGTTTATATTACTAAAAGCAACGATTATTCAGACTGGACAGGCACATGTCAGCGTTGGTCTGATGATATTCTTGTAGAGAAGCACTTTGCTTTAAACTTTCAAAGAAGATGCAGAATTAATGAGTGGATTTAGTTTGACAGCTTTTGCTGTTGCTTTTTGTAGTACTGACTTCATGTGTTCTTCAATGTTAAGCGTCTGTCTATTAGCACTCCCAGATTATTTATGGGTGTAGAAATGTTCGATAAGGAGAGTTGGGAACTTTTTATTTTTAGAGGTGGGAGGGGAGGGGTTCTGAGTGTGAAGATCTTGTGTTTTTGTGGGATTTATTTTGAGTCACCATTTGTGAAACCAGCTGGTGAGAGTATGAAGAGAGTATTTTTGTCATGTTAGTCTTGTATCCATGGCGATAGTTCTATAATTAACGACCAGGCAATCGATTTAGAAAGTAGCGAGAAAGCAACAGGAACAAAAGAAAGCTCAAGTGGTGCTCATAGGAGCCAACACTCCGACGCGACGTTTGGGGAGAGGAACAAATGACGATACCGAACCCTAATACAGAACCTCTTCGAACGTGTTTCACGAGCGCAGAAATTCAATGAATCACTGCTGCATGTAATACAGTGACAACTTGCACTTATTATTATTATTATTATTATTATTATTATTATTATTATTATTATTATTATTATCAGGGGAGTCCAAAACGTGTATTTCCGTTGAAATCTCGATATCGATTTTTCGCAGCATGACATAACTTTCCCTAAAGTACTTATAATACTCCGTATTTACGCCTGTATACGGGAAAGTAAACTTAGTGCTTCCATTGCACGGTGGCGATACTTATTACTTAATATTATAATAATACGTGAAAAAGTGTTTTTTTAAGAAGCTAGACTTCATTAAGAAATTATTGGTGGTTCAACTGCACGTACTTTCTCGCATTATTTGTAACTATTATAATTGTAATACAACGTTTGTGTAACTTCTGAATAATTAAAATATTACATCAAATTAATGTTTTTGTAATGTTGGTGTAATTCGGTGCATTTATCTTTACCCATTTAAGAAGTCTAAAGAAAAACAATGGAAAATTTAGAGTAAATTGATCTGTCATTTTTAGCTTATTTAAACATTTTTGAAATAATGGCACCGAAGTATCGAATCACGTAAGTGATATGCGACATTCAATCTACCGCAATAGTATATGATTTAAAAACATTGAGAACATCACACCTCTAGAATGTTTTCTCAAAATCTGGATGTTTTTCAAACACACTGCATCAATAAACATTCACTGAATTTTTTAGAAGATCATTTTTTGTAACTTAACTGAAGTACCCTACTGTGGCCGCTGACATGCCTTCTCCAAATTGCTGATTAAAATTGATAAGCACTGCCTAAATGTAGAGCAAATTCTGTCGCATGACTGAAGCGCTATAATTTGAAAAATAACCTCTTAATTTCATACATTGTGTATTTGTAGGAGAGAAATCTCCATGGTAAAGATGCGATCTCTTTTTCTTTACGAAAAAAGTGCACCGATGCATGGTTAGTTCTAATGGCGAAATCTAATGGCGAAGTTCCTGTAGTGTAGATTGCGCTGCCGCAAGCAGGCTCATCCACGCTTCACATCGATTCCTACATTACTTCCCTTTCGGACACCTCCTTCACTTCGATCTCTTCCTTCCTTGAGGATGATGACCCGAAGGCGAGGGGAGAACGCACTAACGTCATACTTCCCAAAGGATACAGCCGTTTAAACGGTTTCACTGTATTAACATTTTTTTTAAACATCAAAAATGCTAATAAAATATTCATATAAAATATGTAGTTGCAATTGCATAGAATTTGGTCTTTTAGTAATCTAGATCTGCTGTGGATACGTCACGTCCGTGTCAAAACCAGTTTTGTCAATATGCATGTTCGGCGTTTGTTATCCATGTTTTCATCATACATCATGTGAAAGTTAATGGCACTCTACGTGCATCTACCACAAAAACTACTTTCACATTTCTTTAATCTCGGTTTGTTTTTTACGTTTCTAGAACTTCAACCTTTTCCTTTCTGTGCTAGTCATTGTTGGAACCCGATTCTCTCAATCCAATCTTGGGTCTTGATATTTAATGGGCGTGAGCCATGACTCAAAATCCGCACGTATCTTGAAGACTCGTGAAAATAATGAGCGAATATTGAAAATTGGGTTAGTGATTTGACTCTGTGTGGCGTTTTCGACACTTTTAACAATTTTGGGATCAGAAAAATCTTAAATAAGTTGTTATTTACAGTAAAAAAAACAGACACGTCATCAGAAACAGTAAATAAACCAGGAAAGTTACCGAAGTCTCCTTCAAATTGTTACTAACATTCTCTAACATGCAGAAGATTGGTAGATATATCCCCAGTTTAAAGTACGTAAAACAAACTTCTACCCAATATGTGTTGAAAAATAATTTGAACATAATTTCAAAAAAAACACAGACTTAATTAGCTTCTTCTGTGTACGCTTCAAAAGCTATAATGAGCGATTGATGACAAATTAGCCAAGAAATATAATGGTTATAATGCCATAAAATGCATAATGGTAAATTTATTCTCCTATCTTTTACATTTATAAACATCACATTGTAGATCAGTCTTGGGTAAGGTTTGAGTGGGCTTATAAGCGACATTTTACATTAAAATCTCTTATTTCCTTTAAGTGATAATATTACGTTTTAAACCGTGTGAAATATGTTCCCCAGAAGAGGTGGCGAGCGTGGGGGCATCTATTGGCGGCCGACTCGTCACGCGAACAGTTGAAAGGCGCCGCCCCGCCACGGGGTAGAGCACAGAGGGAATAATCGCTTTGGCCCAACCCTGTCACCGTGCCGCTGGTCAAACGCTGTGAATCTTTCATTGCGGCTTCTGATTTTTCACCCTATAAATGCGGTTTTGTTGCGCCCTTCTGTTGCCTGATTGCCACCTTCGAGGTTTTGGGATTGGATTGTGTACATTAACTTCCCTCTTGAAGAAAACTAAAGGGATAAAAGGACAGTGAAGGTAATACTCTTCGGACACTTTACTTGCGAACACTTTACTTTCGTTATACTTCTCGTTACTTAACATATGAAGACGCATCGGTAAACAGTAGTCGTTAAATTATTTAAAAATATTCCTAACCACTGCGTGAAAAGGATTTACCTAAACCTCTTCAATCTTCTCTTAAAAATATCCTCTTTATAAAAGTTTTGAGGCTGACAGTATCATCAACAAATATTCGTCAATTCAAGCAAAAACGGCCTAGAAATTCAATTAAATGGCTGATCAGAAATTCGTGTATTCAGTGTATTATTGAACTGCACATATGTTGAGAGTATAGCTGGGTCTTTCTGCAAGGGTGACTTTCTGAAACGGCAAACTGAATTTATTCTTAAAAATTATTATTTGAAAATAAAACATTCTACCTCTTAAATAAACCTGTTTCAATCGCAAGTCGATTCTCTTTGGTGCGTAGATGTGGCGATTAGGGATTTGGTAGAAGAATAGCGCAAAGTAGAAGGTCATGATGTTCCTGGAAAATATTTGTGCTTCCATGAATACTTTTGGTAAACGAACTACACGTTTTCCTCCAGCTGATTAAAAAGTATCAAGATGTCGCCATTTCTGCGATCATTTTAACTAACATATCTGTGAAATATTAAGTGGTCTTTCAAAGTTTCCTTTATTGAATTTGGGACTTTAGGGTGCACGGAACAAATGGAATAGCAGAACGTGGTTGTATGTAGGCTGATTCAAAATTGCTTTTGAACCGCCATGATGGGATGTCTTATCCACTATGAATCATTTTTGCGGAAAGAAATGTAAAACTTATTGTCTTTTTGAAGTTGTGGAAGGTACATTGAGAATACACTCGTCGAATGAAGTATGAATAGCAAGAGGTTTACAAAACACGCCCTTTAGTTAGAATTCATTGTCCGTAATAAAAATCTGAAATTTTGTTGCCGCATGATAATATTTAACCTACGTTAACGTACGTTGCATAACGTATAATGCATAACGTACAACATGTGATGCTTATATATGACAGTCACACGATAATTCGATGGGGTTGTGAAATAATGTGTCGCGCAGTCAGTGCGTCACTGTCATAATTTTCCCTCCCGAGTGTTCGTGGCGGCCTTGATATCGCTGAACTGGCAACCCCTGGTCGTGTGTATCGAATGCTCTAATTTATAGAGCGTGTATAAGTTCACTTTTAGAATCGTGCAAGAGAAGAGAATCGCACAAGACTTACACAGTTGCGCAGCTGACTTCAGAGATCGGAAGGCAATTAGAATCACTTGTACATAAAATGAGTTGGTCATATAGAGATGCAAAATCAGCGCCACTCCTAGCTCTAAGAACGTGGGTGAACGCAGGATGGGACAGAAGGTCCACGCACATTTGCGTAGCTCGCGGTTTAAGATACTTGTCGGACA